AACTTTTCTTTAATTATAATCACACGTTTCCTATTTGACGACATTGTGAACACGCAAAAAATGTAAACAAGAGGCGACCACACTCCTTCGCACCAAAAAGCATAATGAGATATTCGTATAGCTCAGGGTCTGGAGATGGGGATCCATGTTACTTTTCACAGGTGGCCCGCTTCGTTACCGAATCGCATTCTACAATATGTGTTCTAGTGGACCGGACTGAAGAATAAATATACACATTTTACAAGATGTTCAAGTAGCTCCACCGAATAACATACAAAATAGTGTATCGCATGAATCTCCTAAAGACAGCGAAACCGAGACAGCCCACACTTGTAACGCAGAAAATAATTTCAATGATGGTATTCCTATACTAGATGAAATAATCAATAATAAGGTAACCCAAGTTATCGTTTCTAAAAATCCACACAATCAAACAGATGTCAAACAAGAAAGCTTTGATAATCATAAAATTCTTTATGTGAAAATTCCAAATTCTGCTTCAGCCATAAATCAATTTCTTAGAGAATACACATCCAATGACAGAACATTTTATCTGTACTTCCATGAGGATTCACTTTATACTATGTTTAATAGAGTATTTATAAATAATTTCGATAGCAATTAATTAAAATTGGTTAAATGTACAAAACTAATCAATACTGTCAAAGAAAAAGATGAGCAACTTATGCTGATTAAATTTCAACATGAAGGCAAGAGTAATCATAGAGGAATCAATGAAAAACTCAAACGAAATTATTATTGTCCCCGCATGAAGTCCGATATCACACTAAACGTATTCAGTGTTGTATAACTAGCACCCTCCTTAAAACTATTATCTAGAAAATCAACGAAATCTGCTGTTGAGGGATTAAAGCAGTCTACTGCTCTACGGATGCAAAATTCCCACCATTTTTTATATGCGGTGTTGTATTGTTTCAGTGTATTAGGATTTAATGAAGAGATAACTACTTCTAAAGCTGATTCCGTCAGTCTTCTTGGAGCAAGAGCTTCCCTGATAAAATTCCTGACACCAGGGTAAGCTTTGGCCAAAGCGGATGTGGTTCCCTATTTGGAGATAATAAAAGACTTCTATTAGGAGTTAAATAAACCAATTTTGACTTGAGAATCTTACTGAAAATTGGGTACCAAGGTTGTGCCCTCCACAGAGGGACCACCATTATCCCCTCCCCCTCATCTTTGATAATTTTATTCAACGTTCTCATCATCAAAGAAAAAGGAGGGAATGCATAGAAAAATATATTTGACCAACTTATCGTAAAAGCATCAACAGCTATTGATTTCGGATCTTTTTTCCAGGAAATAAATTGTTTACATTTATTGTTTAGCTGGGATGCGAACAGATCGATGTTAGGAAGGCCAAAAGTGTGAATAATTTTCTTAAAAGCTAAAGAGTTTAACTCGTATTCAGTTTCTGAATTAAGCGACCTTGATTCAAAATCAGCTACCACATTACGAGAGGATTCAATATAAGTTGCAAAAATATATATAAGGTACCTGAGGGTATTAACGCCCACTTAACAAACTTTTTTTAATCTACTAATTACGAGTGAGGATTGATAAATTACTGCATTAGTAAAAACATCTTTATTGATAAATAAATACAAATTTCAGCCTTTTTTAGTTCTCAAAGTATCACAGGACCTCTATAGGCCATTTCAAAGAATGGTGTTTTTGGGCGTTATTAACCACCTAGTAGTATATTAACGCCCTATGGTAAATGCAGTGTAAGGTACATGAAAGTAAGCAAAAACTGAACTAAGCACAAATATATTCTGCTTAAAACTATTTTACAGTTTAAAAAAACAAGTCTTCAATGTTTGGACGCTACTACCCGCGCAAAACTTTCTAATAGAAACGAAACATTTTTCTTCGCTAAGTGAAAAGGAACATTAAATAGATAATGCAACGGGTATTATTAGAGCATTCCTGCATTATTAACAAAAAAAAAAACATGAAATGAAAAACTAACACTCGGGGCATTCAAAAATTAAATCGCTTTCTGTCAGACCAACACACTCCTCATGGTACCAGACTTGGCATTTCATGCACTGTCTCATGTCTGATTAAACGATTTTCTTTGCAAGCTGGACAATACCAATCTGCAACTTGATCTGGAACAATCCTTGAGCTCGATGGATTTTGCTGGAACAAGTCCTTAGTAATTGTCTGTGCTTTGTAGTTCATTGCTTTTTTCCGTGGTAGTTTAACAGTAATCGCTTGCTTCATATCTGGTGTCGCCAGAAGTTTTTGGAAAGACGTTCTAGAACGATAGTGAATCCGTTTTTGTAACGCTTGAAGTGGCAAGTCATCTTCGGAATCAGATGAATCCACTATGTGTGAGGTGGCATTTTCTTTTTGTCTTGCAAATAAATATTTTCCGACACCCTTGGACGTTGAGGGTTGCTGGTCGACGTCTTCTGGCCTATTGGTGTCGGGCAGTAAACGTTGCGTCAGGATAGATGGAGCGAACGCCGTTGCGGGAATGGCATCGGGGTTAAAAGGATAAATCCCTACAGCCCTGAATCCACTAGTTATATTAGAGTAGGTCATACACTTGGACCAAACGTTGGTAAAAATCTTGTTGAAGCTGATTTTGTTAATTTTTCGGCCTGGATTCGCAGACTGATACTTCAGCATCTCTACATCCCAATGATGTTCATAAGATCGATACACAGATTTGTCGAGCGGCTGTAGTTCGTGCGTTGTGTTTGAGGGTAGACAATAAAGGGTAATATCGTGCTCTTCAGCGGCATTAACTATTCTCAAGTCCAAATGACATGCTGCACCATCAAACACTAAGAGGACTTTGCCAGGTGGTTTAAAACTGGCAAGGTGCTTTATAAAATCAACAAAGAGCTCGGTGGTGATATAACCTTTAGGGGACATCCTTACTATACTGCCTGTTGGTAAATCGTCACAGTATTCTGGCTTAACTCTTTTACCCTTGAAAATTATCATTGGCGGAGTTGGATTACCAATGGCGGATACACACCCCCCATTTGAGATAAGGTGAAGAACCCTTTTCACAACTTTTTGTGCAAGAACGGTAGGTTGATGGTGAAGGGTCAGACGGCAACCTTTCTCATCCATATTGAAAATTTTCTCAGGTTTGTGCTTTAACTCCAATTTATCTAATAAGTTACCAATTTTTTGGAAATGGTCTTCTACTATGAACTTATTCAGTTTTTGCGCTCTTGCTTGATTCATAAATTGGGCTTTCCTTTTTGATACAATCGGGTTTCTTTTTAAGAAAGATTTCATCCAATCCTTTCCTGCTCTTTGGCTTTCTGTATTGAAATTATTTGGGATGTTGTTTATTTCACAGAACTTGAAAACATTAAAACGTAACGTTTTCAAGGTTAGCGGCAACCCTATATCGGCCAAACGTAGAATCCTTTCCACTAGATCTTTCTCTTGTTCTGTATTTAGCACGGCTTTTCGGCCAAATCTTTTAACGCATTTTCCAGTTTTGAGGTGATCTCGAAGTGTTCTTCTGGGAATATCATATCTCTCCGATGCGGCTCTCTGAGTTAAGATCCCCCTTGATACTGACAGAATGGCTGCCTCCATATTTGCTTCGTCCCATCCTACACCTCTTTTTCGGGCTGGTGTTGACGATTTCTTTTCCATGTTTAATCACTTCTGAAATAGTTCAAAAATATCATATTTTCATTTGTTTAATAACGCCCGCTTAGGCTGTTTAATAACGCCCACCCCGAATTTGGCTGGGCGTTATTACACGATTCACTTCTTACAACAAAAAAAGCCAATTCAAGAAAAAACACATTTGAACAAGCAGAACTAATTAGCTATTCGCTTGTCATAGACCTTAAGCATTACGTGTGGAAAATAACAACCATTTATCATGCTAAAATACAAATTTACTTACTTATTTGCAGCACCTAATTTTATAAAATGGATCGCACAACCACCTGTTTTGTATGCTTTGTTATAACTGACTGCGCAAACTCGCTAATGGCGTCGACTATCACTGTCTTCGTCTTACTACAGTCGAGTATGTTCCTTATAACCTGCGTTAGCTTCAAATAATCCAGTGCAAAGCGCCAAATTTAAAAGCGGGCGTTATTAACCACCGGGCGAAATTGCCCGCACCTACCTTATTTTTAGACTCACACCACTGCCAGATTGCTTTCGACAACTCAGACAATTTCTTATATTTTACACCTCCCATACGATTAATGTAGGATATGGCGGTGGTATTGTCAACTTTTAACAAAATGGAGCAGTCTTTAAGGTCTGTTGCAAAACATCTTAGAGCATTATAGGCTGCTAGCGATTCAAGGTAATTAATATGAAATTTAGATTCCTGTAAACTCCAAAAACCCTGGGTAGATTCTGGACCTGCCGAGGCTCCCCATCCGACATTTGAAGCGTCGGAGTAAATTACCACTTTATAATCCTGAGGCCTAAGCGAGACAAGTGATTTTGGAATTGCTGTCATCCACCAATTTAATTCTCTTTTTATTTTGAGTGTTATTATCATTTGCGAGTTATAATTGTTATTCGAATTTTTCAATGCTAGATATTTATATCTTTCTAAGCATTTTGTGTGCATAAGACCGTATTTTATAGCAGGACAAATCGAGATAAGGTATCCTAAAAGTCTTGCAAACTCTCTTATTTTACAACTATTAAACTTAACAAATGTGTCAATTTTCAACAAGGTATCATGTCTTTTGCTAGCTGGCAGTGTCATGCACATGTTTATGCTATCATAAAGAAAACCTAAAAATTTTCAGATATTACTGGGTATTAATTGGCTCTTTTTGTAATTTACAACAAAACCCAAGGATTCTAAGAGTGAAGTGGTTACGATTATATTCGTCCGACACTGATCTATACTATGCCCTAACAATAATAAATCGTCTAAATAATTAACTGAATAAAAACCTTTGTTTCGAAAGAATGAAATAACTGGTTTTAATAGTTTGGTAAAAATATAAGGGGCAGAGCAGAGGCCGAACGGTAAGCAAGAGAATTCGTACAAAAACTTGTTAAACGTAAATCTTAAATAGTTCCTATGTTTTTTGTAAATCGGTATACAGAAATAGGCGTCCTTTAAGTCTAGAGAGGCCATATATACTCTGTTGGTAATTATATTTTTAACAATTTTATAATTTTCCATTTTAAAGTGTTGGATTGTTACATATTTGTTTAATTGTTGTAGATTTATAACAAATCTCTGATTTCCGTCTGGTTTCTGTACTAAAAAATATGAAGATAGAAATTGATTTTTACACGGTTGGCATTTATTGATTGCGCCTATTGCTTCTAATTTATTGATTGTTTCTTTAAGGTTCTTAAATTCTATTTTACTGTAACTTTTGGCTTTTGGCAGGACTAACTGTTTAGGAGTATGAAAAAATGGTAAACGGTAGCCAGTTATACAGCTCAGAATAAATCTGTCATTCGTTATAGATTTCCAAGATTTTTGAAAATACTTTAGTCTACCGGCAAATAAAGCAATATTGTTAACATTTACCTCTACTGAATTTGTCGGTTTCGGTAATTGTATCTGGCTAGGTTCCCTCTCGATGATCTCCATTGATTTCTGTTTCTCTCTTGTATTCGAGGCTCCTTTCTCTTGTTTAGTACAAACTGACTTTTCCGAAAACGTACAGATGTTTTGGGGCGCTGCCAGTTTAAATGGCTCCTATTAAAGATTTGGCTGCTTGCAGGAACTTTACTCACCTGCAGCTCTACTGCAGATTTATTTATAGTTTGATTAATTTTACATTTCTCCATGAATGTTTTTCCAAAGAGAAAATTATCCATTTTAGATTCTTTGGCTAGTTTTTGCATGTCAGATTTTAAAAGAGGATAGACTTGATGTCTGCGATGCATTGATAACTGAAAATGGGCGTTACACTGAAGTTTTCCTGCTGTCATTAGATCAGGTATTATTTCTTTTATAATATTAGGGAGGTCTGCTATATCTAACAGTTTGCTTATCACTGATGATAAAGCACTTAAGCTTCCAGCTATGTCATTTTGAATATGACACATAAAGGAATCTTTTTTCTGATCGGTAGGCGAAAGAAGTGCTAAAATCTCTGGATTTAAGGTAGGTGAGTTGAAAGAGAGGCAGTTTTCAGGTGTTGGCCACTCGAGTCTTATTTTTTCTTTTTCATCGCTAGACATCCCATTGGTTGCGTAATAATTTAGCCTAGAGGCCACCTGATCACTCACTGGCTTGCCCATAACCTTAGGCATGGATGGATCAGTTCCCAGTATTTTATTTATACTATCTATTTTATCAGAGGGTATTGGAGAAAGTTCTGCTTCTCTGTGAACATCGACCTCTACGATATTACCCTGATTAACATCGCTGTGAACCGAATCTGATGAGGAAACACTTATGAGGCGAATTCTCTTTCTACGGGGTTCTATATCCTGGTCACTCCCACCTAAGAAACAAGAATGCCAGTTTTTCATTTTTAATTCAATATGTCTAAATAGCGAGAAAGGCTATTCAAACTCTGCTTAGTAATTTTGCAAAGATAGCAAATTACCTCGACTCATAATGGTATGTGGGATATTTACTAAAAGCAGTAACTTACAAAAAACAGCGAGCAAGGCTGTTTTTTAGTTATACATATACATATGTATGGCGAGTAAAGCCATTTTAGATTATAACATATTTTTATCATGATGAATCAAACGGCGAGTAAGGCCGTTTTGTACGAGAAATTAACCTTCAAGTAGTAGAATGCTAAATTTCGCCTACAAATCATTTAAAAACAAATTCAACATGTCGGTAGATGACGCCTAAGGCCATTTTCGCCATAACCGCGTTTCCCTGATACACAAAACAATAATAAACATCGTACTTACTTGTAGAGACGTCCTGTAGCATTTCCTCTAATTTCTTCAACTTTTCTTTAATTATAATCACACGTTTCCTATTTGACGACATTGTGAACACGCAAAAAATGTAAACAAGAGGCGACCACACTCCTTCGCACCAAAAAGCATAATGAGATATTCGTATAGCTCAGGGTCTGGAGATGGGGATCCATGTTACTTTTCACAGGTGGCCCGCTTCGTTACCGAATCGCATTCTACAATATGTGTTCTAGTGGACCGGACTGAAGAATAAATATACACATTTTACAAGATGTTCAAGTAGCTCCACCGAATAACATACAAAATAGTGTATCGCATGAATCTCCTAAAGACAGCGAAACCGAGACAGCCCACACTTGTAACGCAGAAAATAATTTCAATGATGGTATTCCTATACTAGATGAAATAATCAATAATAAGGTAACCCAAGTTATCGTTTCTAAAAATCCACACAATCAAACAGATGTCAAACAAGAAAGCTTTCATAATCATAAAATTCTTTATGTGAAAATTCCAAATTCTGCTTCAGCCATAAATCAATTTCTTAGAGAATACACATCCAATGACAGAACATTTTATCTGTACTTCCATGAGGATTCACTTTATACTATGTTTAATAGAGTATTTATAAATAATTTCGATAGCAATTAATTAAAATTGGTTAAATGTACAAAATTAATCAATACTGTCAAAGAAAAAGATGAGCAACTTATGCTGATTAAATTTCAACATGAAGGCAAGAGTAATCATAGAGGAATCAATGAAAAACTCAAACGAAATTATTATTGTCCCCGCATGAAGTCCGATATCACACATTTTATTAACGATTGTATAATTTGTCAAAAAGCCAAATATTCTAGAAATCCCCCATATATTCCACTGGTATTGACAGAAAGCATAGGAAAACCCTTCCAATTATTACATGCTGATGTATTTACATTCAATAGTCAACATTTTCTGACGATTATTGATGCTTTTTCCAAATTAGGACAATCAGTTCCAATCCAAGCAAAGACCTCTGTCGAAATTTGTAGAGCATTCTTACATTATTTTTCATATTATGGTCTACCTGAGCGTATTACTCTTGATAATGGTACAGAATTTAAAAATGAGACAGTTAGGGAACTCTTGAAATGTCATAAAATCGATGTGCATTTTACTAAGATAAAATGAAACATCTATACCAGCGTATTTCAAACGATTTGCAGGAAAATAAAGCCAAAGTACTCGAAAAACGTAACATTGAGTTCGTAGAAATCTTAGAACATAACAAAGCAAAAATCAAAAATAAGTCCACAAGTAAAATAGAAATAGTACATATGAAGGAACTCAAAGCCCCTTCTATTTCAGGATCCTCGCCTGCAGCGGAAGATCGACAACAGAACTAGTATGTCCCAAATTCCACGACCTCAGCGATAATCCTGGCCTCCTTCCCTTAAGATTAGGAAACGCCCAGAATATTGCTAATTATTGGTCATTCATACAAATATTTGATAATTCCTATCTAGCTGAACAATTCTCAGAATTGCAAGTAATTTTTGGACAATTGAAAATGGATATTGAAAATTCCACTTCCTTTTTTACAGAAATAAAAAATTATTGTAATCTAATATTATCATTAGAATCAAAGATTCATGATCAATTGTTACAGATAAATCCAGTTTATAATAGAAAACAGAAAAGAGGATTAATCAATGGGCTTGGTTCGATCATAAAAATTATAACAGGAAATTTAGATGAATCAGATGCGAAACGTTATGATCAAGCATTATTATCATTATCGAAAAATCAAGAGAGAATCAAAACTTTAGTCCAGGAACAAGTTACAATTATCAGTCAGGCTCTAGATGTTTTTGAGCAAACATCGAAAAATATTACAAAAAAGCAATTAATTTTAGAATCACGTATCCTGCAATTTGAGAAATCTCTGATGGCTCTTCAGACAAAAGATTTACACTTAGAAAACGAACTTTTTATACAAATTGTAATTTCACAAATATTAACTTCATTTCGATATATCCACGATGTTTTAGAAAAATTAGAGGTTGCAATATCTTTTGCAAAACTTAATACATTCCATAATTCTATATTGAAACCTCAAGACCTTCTAGTAGAAATAAAGCTTATCTCAGAACATTTACATGATGTCAGACTACCATTTGAACCTGCTTTAGAAAACATTTTGCTTTTTGAGAAAATATTAGAAATCAAAAGTTATAGTAAAGGCAATCAAGTTATTTTCATTCTGGAAATTCCTTTAGTAGAGGTCGATAGATATAATTATTATCACCTATACCCATTACCTACGACGACATCCAATCAATTTAAAGTCATATTTCCTTACTCAAACTACCTAATCCTAAATAATAAACTTATAGCCTTTTTGACAAAAACTGCAAAGAAATTAAGCCTGAACAACATGTTTGCCACGAGAAGAACTCAGTAAAGCTAAGCAAAGGAAATCCATGTGAAGTTCAAATGTTACTGTATGAAAAGAATATTACTAACTGTTTTCAAATGCCAATACAAGTACAACAAGAAAAAGTCAAAAAGCTAGATGCAGAAAACTGGATGTTAGTTGTTCCCAACAGGAAAATTGTCACATATAGGTGTGGTGAAAACCAAGACAAAATTCCACTTCGAGGAACATATCTACTAGAAAATTGCCAAAATTGCGAAGTCTATATGGGTTCAACTGTTATAAAAAGTCGCCGGAACCCAAAATCACAGTTAAAGTATATTGCACTACCAAATATGTTGGTATACGCAAATAGAACAAAAAAGAATACCTTAAAAAAGGACATAGACATACATTTAAAAGGTAATAAATTAATGCCTGTGGATCATTCGAAAAACCTAGGTATTATAATGGATGATGACTTAAAACTTGTTGCACACGTGAACTATCTAATTACTCGGTGCTACGCTATTCTCAGATTGTTATTTGCAAATAAGGCTATATTACATAAATCTGCGAGAAAGCAATTGTGTGAATATTTCGTGTTTTCAAAGATATCGTATTGCTTAGTGGTTTACTATCCCTATTTAGATATTATAACAAGAAATCGTATCCAAAGTATTATGAATACATGTTGCAGACTTGTAAATGATCTCAGAAAATATGATCATATATCGAATGCCATTAATGAACTCAAATGGATGAAAATTGATAAAATGTATAAGTACCAGCTCCTAAATCTGACTCATAAGGTTCTTTATTCAAAAACACCGTCATATTTAGTAAACAAATTCATACGTAGAGGGAATATGCATCGTATTAATATTAGATATAGAGAGACTTTTTCAATTTCACGCCACAGCATGTCTCTATTTCAGAATACATACATTTACAATGCGATCAAATCATATAATTCTTTAGACCGCAGTTTAAAGGAAACCAATCTATTATCCAAATTCAAGAAAAAAGTGAAAGAAGTTCTTCTTGATCAGCAGCGAAATCGGTTGTAACCCATAAGTGTCATCATATTTTCCCCATGTATTTACTTGGATTTTACTTTATTCTGTAGTTATTGTATACAGGTGCCTATTAATTTTCAACAAATTCTTTTTTTTACATCTCGTATTGTTAAGGGGGTTAGATGGTAGAATAGATATATAATCTAAATCTCGCCTCCTGTAAGAATATTACAAATAAAAGACGTTAATTATTATCATTATTATTATTAAAGCTAGTTTTTGAAGGATTCAAGAAAACGCAGACTGCCCATTTGGAACCTCTTCAACTAGAATCCATTAACTTCGAAGAAATGAACAACATTAGAGCCGCCCTGGATTTGAACAAGCACAGACTCCAAAAAATCCCCGATAAACCAATTATTGATCTCCAATTAGTAAGCATCTGGACCATCTTACTGTATTCCCTAATTGCCATCATCTGGGGCTACCTCACTGTTAAATCCTACTTTAAAAGAAAACAAGCCGGGAAGAAGAAAGAAAATAGAAAAACCGAAATTATTGTTTGAAGCAAAGAACGATAAAGATAGAAGACAAGTTATAGAAGATAAACGTTAAGGAGAAAGAAGATAGAAATTATCCAAGAAGAACGAAAACTTTCAAACTTCACCGTTGGTTCAGTTTCTACGGCGGGAGAAGTTACAGACACCAGATATGCATAATTGTAAAATTGCATTTCACATAGCTTGCACTTTTTACAGAGTTTATAAATATACCGTAATTTGCATTATATTCAGTTCTAGCTATTTCTCGGTCTGTTTCACATCAATTTTGTACGTTTTGAAAATAAAAGTTTTTTAAAAACATATTTCGGAGTCGTACTTCCGTGCATTACGTAATTTTGGTGCTCTTCAATACGTTGATACACGTGCCTCCAATCTGACATACCAGTAATAAAACCACTAGTATCTGTGCCTTTGCTAAATGCCAAACGTTTTGAAGGCTGCCCGACAGTTGAATTTCTCGTGACTTGTTGGTACTTTGGGGTGGTATTGAAAAAATATATTTGATGCACCTTGAGTAGGTCTTTTGAAAAAATATTCCGAATTCTGATCTTCTACATTATTTCTAATTTCAGGGTTCGGGCTTGGATTATGTATAATTTGTTCATCGTTGACCATTTCTTCTGAAGGACATTTGATTTATAATGATTTAAAATTACCCAGAAATAAATTTAAAGGGGATATTTTTTTAATTTTAGAACAAGTTAATGAGAGAATTTCTATTTCAATGTATTTTTTAACGGTGCCGTAACGGCGCCAAAGGAAACGGCGCACCGGGCGCGTTATATGCATAATCTTGTTCCAAATTACATCTGTAAGAGATTGCACCTTCAACGATTCTTGACAGAAGATTAGCGTTTTGTAATAAAAGCCCCCAAAATAGTATGGCGCTCGATGTATGGAAAATATATACGCAGTTGCAAATATTACATTTTTCTGGGTTCGTGTTATAAATAAGTTCTCTTTCAATGTAGGCATTCTAAATACACACACGCGATCGAAAGAAATGACGTCAATCAGATTGACTCTATGCTTCCCACGCTTTCAAGACGGCCTTTGGTACAATTTTCGATGTAGCGCAATGTCATCAAAAGACGTAGGTTTAATCGGAACTCTTAGGACCGATTTTACTAAGCCGCAAAAAAGTGCGTGGGTTACAAGTTCAAACCAATGAGAAGGGGTCTTTGAAGTAATGGATCTAATGAATATGGTAGATTTCTTGTGAAATTCTTAAACTAGCGAATAATTATACGGTTTGTGTAAGATGGGCCTGTAATTTCCATATTAAATCAAGACATACGGCATAAATCACTTGGTTTAGCTACAGAAACCTATTTTCTCATTTGCTGACACTGAATTAGCGGCTATAGTCATAAATTGCACCGATCGAAAAGAAACGTTTGCGCCATACTCCAAGCATGGACATAAACCTGATACAATATCTAGATTGATATGACAGCAATGAAATGAGCATTTTAATTTTTGAATTCTGCTTGATAAATTCTTCTAAGTAACAGTGTCTCATTGTTGCTGTAAAAAATGCCGCTCAATAAATAAAATTACAGAATCCTTATTTTTTTTAACAAATATTGCGTAAATCAATTTACCTGACAACCGTATGAAAAACCCTGTTCTTTAAGCCAGCCCTGTTAACAGGAAGCTCCTGCGCCCTCTACTGGGCAGTAGGACGACTCCCAATGGCCCAGTAGAGTGTTAACAGCAGCAGGGCTGGATTGAGGAACAGGGTTTTTCGCACGGTAGTCAGGTAAATTGATTTACGTAAGGTTTGTAAAAAAATAAGCATTCTGTAATTTTATTTGTCTAACAGAGAATTTATTAAGCAGCACTTTTTACAACAGCAATAAGACGTTATTTTCACTAAAATGCTCAGTAATGGCCTCATGTACAATTTATGTATTGTATCAGGTTTGATCTATGTTTCGATGCGGTCACACATCCTGTTTGATTGGTGGAATTCGCGTCAACTTTTGTATCTGGACACAAATGAAAAAATGGTGTTTGTAGCTGAATCATTAATTAGGTGCCCATCTTACACAAATCGTATATTTTTTTCTAGCTTGAGAGTCATTTTTCAATCACATTGAACAGGTTAAAACAAAATTACCTTAAACGCGAAATGAGAGCCATGGCAGTTCCGAGCATTGCGATCTACAATGGTTCGATTCTGGTGTAGATGGGGCTTCGCGCTTTCTCATGCTGATAAACCGTACCTCCGGTATAGAGGATCATTGTGTTGCTTTTGTTTGTACATCCAGAGATAAGAGACCAAGCCTATACCATGCTGATAAGTAGCTAAGGAGCACGAAACAGCTGTCCACGGTTGGACAGACGAAAGCATCTCATTTTGTTTTAACCTGTTCAACGACTAGCAGACCACTTCAGCATTCAGCCAGAATCATCAGCCATCTAGGGGCACGGGCTATTAAATGGGAACTGAGATCACAAAGGTTCGATTCTTGTGAGATAGATGGCGCTTCGCACTATCTCATTTCATGTCATGTTTGAAAATTAACAATTACCTCAAATTGAAAATGTGGCCTGTATTAATTTTGTTACTTTTAAGGCAATTAATGTGATTCTATTTGGCAACATCGACGTAACGGTGGAAAATGGACGTGAACGTCAAAATATAACATAGGTTTGAGCATTTTCCTGGAGAGTGCTAGTTTGTCATCCTCATTTTCTTCCAGTGCCAGTTTGACCTGTTCTGTTATCTCATAAATTCATTATCCCTATCGATGCGACTGGATTGCTGACTATGTACTTTGTAATGACCTTCCTGACGTCAAAGGTAGTTCACCACACCCCCTGCCCTTCCTTTCAAAGCTTTAGGGCGAGGAGACATTTCAGATTACTCTGTTGAAATCAATTAAGCTTCGGTGAGGTAAATTACGTCAAGGTTACATAAACATGTCCTTATCGTCGATTTAGAGTGCAAATCTGCTAATTCTCTCTGCAGGTCAAAAAAAGTAACAAAAGATATAATTTCCACTTGAGAAGACCAATTAAAATATAGCTGCATTGTTTGTAACTTTTGGTAATAAGAGCAGCAAAAACAATACCTTCGTTTCGTAGTTGAGTTTTATAGGTGCTTTTGCGATGCGTGATGAAATTTTAACTGTTCTATGTACTTATCACACATTTTCGTAGGCATACGTTCTTGGTTTGATCTGGCTGTTTTGCTAGAATGATATAGTGTTTCCTTCTCTCTCGACTGGTATTAATAAGTTATATGAGACAAAAAATGGATTTAGCAGATTTACACTCTAAGGTGACTATGTACTTTGTATACAGGAGTTACTTAATTATAGGTCGTAATTACAACGGCGCACTTCTGAACCAAATTAAGTAGAATATATTCAAATAAGCATATGTCTTAGAAAGTCTGGTTTTCCAGGCCGTATTTGCAAGGGCGTACTTTTGAACCAAATTTAAGTAGAACAGTTCATATAAACTTCTCTTAAAAAGTCTGGTGTCAATATTAAAAAAAATTTGTTGTTTTTTTTAAATGATGAATTTTGGCAGGTGTAATGTCCCGCTTCTCGGAGTGTTTTACGGCTCACCAACGCCACAACACCTGAACAATCGTCCTTCCCACAACCGCTCCGCTCGAGTGTCGGTTTTCGACTCCCCAGTGAAGTAGGCGCATGAGACAACCAAGCAACACTTTATCTAGTCAATACACTACATCCCTTTTTTGTTTTATTTGTTTTTATTGACTATATCTCTCTTAATACTTATACAATGATTTATATACATACATATATATAATGGATTTTACATGAATCAAACATAATTAATGGAATTAAAAGTTTTATGTAGCTACACTAGGGTTAAGTTCCGACATTCATTTCCTCGTCGTTAATTTCATTTTGATCTTGGCAGACACTCCATTCCCCTTGAACTCTTTTCAAATGTACAACGTTCCTTCTTCGAATTTGACCGGTTTCATCGCTTCTTACCTTGATATCTCCTCCTTTCGTGTTTTCCACTGTGTGTGTTTCTGGATTGTAGTCTAAGCTTAATTTATTTTCTTTATTCACATTTTTTATATACACTTTGTCTCCTGGTATTAAATCACACTCTTCAGCCTTCCGTTTCATGTCTCCCTTTTCTTTTCCTATTTGCTTTCTTTCTTGATCTCTATCCTTAACCTCTGTGTCTTGTACTGTCCTCTCCATTGTATCGTTTACCATAGGTAATTTATCTCTAAACTTCCTTTTGAAGAAAAGTTCTGATGGGGTTCTTCCCGTAACAGAATGTGGTGTGCTGTTGTACATGGTCAAATAATCCAGCAAACTTTCTTTCCAGTCTTTATTTTCAGCTATACTTATTTTCAGACGTTTAAGTATGTCACGGTTCTGTCGTTCAACCTCTCCATTTTGTTGCGGCCAATATGGTACTGTATTGAAAAGGATGATGTTTCTTTCGGTTAGAAATGACTTAAACTCTTCGCTGATAAATTGCCTTCCATTATCTGCAGTTATTGAAATTGGATTTCCTAATCGACTGAATATTTCTTTAAGTTTGGCTACAATTTCAGTAGAGGTAATTTTACGACAAATCTTCACTTCTTTATATCTGCTGTAATAATCGACTACAACAAATAGATGGTCACCACTTGGAAGGGGACCCATCAAATCAATTGCAATATCAATCCAAGGCCCTTCTGGCAACTCACGCCGTTTCATAGGGTTTGGTGTACATGGTGCAGATACAAGAGTACATCCTCTACATGCTTTTACCGTATTCTCGGCCTCTTTGTCGCATCTAGGCCACCAGACTTTCGTGCGAAGTCTTGCCTTCATTGACACGATACCGGGATGTCCCTCGTGAGCTGCATCCAAAACTCTTTTACGGAGTGCCGAGGGAACTACAATTCTCATTCCTCTCAATAATATACCCTCGTGGAAACAAAGTTCATTTTGAAAGATTTTATACAACTTCACGTCATCGTTCCATATGTTCCGATATAAACCCTCTTTCACATTCCGTATTTCCCTATCGTCCATTGAGCTATCTATTATTTCTTTAAGAGAAACAGCACGAGGTCGGGCAAACTCTACAATTTGGCAAATGTGATTGTCCTCTAGTTTTATCAGGGATTTCTCCGCACTTCTGCTTAGTCTAGACAATGAATCTGCGATATTGGTTTTTCCTGGTTGATAAACTATTTTATAGTCGTACGATTGTAAGCGCATAACCCATCTCTCTATCCTCGCACATGGTTTAGATTTAGGACCAAATATTACTTCCAACGGTTTGTGGTCTGTTATGAGTTCAAATCTTTTACCATAAAGGAATATGTGGAAATGTTCCACTGCCCATACAAGAGCTAGCGCTTCTTTTTCTGTCTGGCAATAGCGGCGTTCACAGTCAGTCAAAGTTTTGTGGCCATATGCAATAATCCTAGGCTCACCTTTGGAATTAGTTTGAACTAAAACTCCGCCCAAACCCACAGGACTAGCATCTGCTATGACAATCGTACGATCGCTAACATTATAATACCCTAAGCTAGAAATATTTGACATGATTTCTTTCAACGACTCAAAACATGACTTTTGTTCTGATCCCCAGTTTTCGGTTATGTCCGTTCGATTTCCTGTTTTGTTTCTTAGTAGGATTTTAAGAGGTTCTGTTACCGTGGCATAGTTGGGTATCCATTTGCTCACAAAATTAACGAGACCTAGAAAACTTTGTAGCTCTCCGGTAGTTTTAGGTGCTCTAAATTCTTTTATTGTGGAAATGTACTTTTTTAATGGTCTTACCCCTTCTCCTGACAGCTCATGTCCTAGAAAACTCACTTTTTCCATTCTAAAACAGCATTTGTCATTTCTTATCACTACGTTATTTTCATTTAAAACAGATATTACTTTTTTTAATCGCAAATCATGTTCAAGCGAGTCCTTTCCGTATATCAAAATGTCGTCAATGTAATTTACCACACCTTCACATCCTAAAAGCATGCGTTCTAATGTTTTCTGGAATATTTCTGGGGCACACGATATACCAAACATGAGTCTCTTGTACCTGAATAAGCCTTTACTGGTTATAAAGGTGGTTATGTGTCTTGAAGCCGGATCTATTTCAAGTTGGTGAAATGCATCTTTAATATCCAATTTTGTAAATACCTTCGCATTTTTCATTTTAGGCAGCAGCTTGTCCATTGTCGGCAATGGGTGATTTTCACGTATAATGGCTTCGTTAGCCCGGCGCATGTCAATACAAAGACGTACTTCTCCATTTTCTTTCAGCACCGGCACAACAGGGGACACCCATTTAGAAGAACCAACTACCGGCTCTATAATATCCCTTTGTTTAAGTTCTTCAATTTTGTTTTCAATTTTTGCCTCTAAAGGTATAGGGATCCTCCTAACATGAAACAGTAAAAATAATACATCAGTAATAACACTAATAACCTTTCAATGAATGATAATTATAACAATGTAATAAAGCAATGTGTGTTATGAGGGTAACAATCAACATTTCAGATCGAATAACTATCAATGAACATTACACACATATTTATCAAAATACAATTTAAATCAGTACCTGTAAGGTTGTGATACGGGTGGGATTGAATGATCGATTGGCAAGTGGATTGATACATCTTTAAATTTGGGGAAAATCTGGTAATCTACTTGATTAACTTCTGCATCCAATCCAATTCTCAAAACTCCTAATGCTATTGCCGAAGTTTTCCCTAAAAGATTTCTAGTGCCATCGATAACAACATAGAAAGTTGAGTTTTCGGATCTTAGTCCTACTTTAATCTGAGCCTCGAATGATCCTTTTATCTTCAGTGGTGTAGGGCTACCATAAGCCATAAATGTAACATCGGGATTTGGAAGTTGATTATACACATTAACTTTGTTTTTCTTTAATTTTTCCCAAGTTCTTTCCGTAATCAAATTCTGCTTGCAGCCCGAATCAATCAGCATCTTAGTTTGTACTCCTCCAATAGTGCACTTAATTTCCACATCGTCATCAATGTGGAAAACATACTCAGTTTCTCCCTCCTTATGGGCTGTGTTGTTAGAAGAGTCACCCACTTCGTTAACTTCATTCTTCTCCCTGTCAAAACGACCTTTCTTTTGTTCATGTCTATATTCCCTATCCACTCTCCGCTTCAATGTCTGTTTCGTTCGGCAGTATTGTCTGAAATGCCCCTTAAGACCACACTTTAGGCATTCTTTGTCCCTTGCTGGGCAGCTTTCATCATTCCCAGCATGTCTAGGATTACCACATCTACCGCATCCATGTTGAACATTCCTTGATTTATCAAAGTTCCTTTTAAATTTACTATCCATCCTGTTTACTTCTTGATTCTCATTTGATCTAAGTGGGTTTTTGAACTCTTCCAATTGTTTATTAACAACTTCAAGGGTATTTGCTTCGGTGATTACTTGCTCTAATGTAATGTCATCTCCAATTTTTAGTATCTTTTTCCTCAGTTCAGGTAGGAAACATTTTTCTGTTATCTGGTCAATAATGTTCCCTTCCCTGTCGGCAAACTGGCATTTGTCGGCTTGTTTCCTCAATCGCAAGACAAATTTTTCGAATTTTTCGTCAGGTTCTTGTTTAAGGAGCCTGAAAGTGTGTCTCTCGAACACTTTGCTTTGTCTTGGTGCAAAGTACGCATCAAGTTTTGATATCGCTATTTCAAAAAGAATATAGAATACTTCCTGCAGGTCTAGCCCGCCGAAATGTAGAAGGGAGGCCCTTTTCTTGATGTCTCTGTCAATATTAGCCGCTTCGAGGTAGATGAATAGCGCTCGCTTCCATCGCTCCCATCGTGCACCCACTGAGGTAGATTCCCCGTTACACTCAAACTTTTCTAGTGAAAGGTGTGACATCTTTGGGCGACCTGGAATAATCAATTTAATGATTCAGATATCTATGTATCTGTAGTTAGATTTTATCTTAGATGCTTCCATCTCATATCAATTTAATGATCGGATTATAGTTTTTATCCGCATAAATCTACTTAAGCCGTCCATACCGGCAAACGTATAAATTTAATTATCAGATTTTAATCTGCTAATTTAGTACCTACGAACCTCATACAATAATAATTTTATTGTAAGGCTTTTGTTTATGATATCAATTTAATGATCAGTTCGCTTCCAACTGCTTTGAGTAGATACTCCCTTCTATTTATCAGTACCTATTAATCACGACAACATAGTTTTAATCAATTTAGGGAAACAGATCCAATTTAATCTGCGTTAGTTTTGGTACCTACCGATCTAACGGTTACCGGTTGTCTTTAAACCTTGCTATTTTTGTAAACAAACAGGTACATGACTAAAATACAAGCATAATACAACATATTTCTCCCACTACGTAGGTAGGTATTACAAAACATCTTACATTTAATGTACTCGTAGTTTAACCTAGCTGAATTCATAAGTATTCATTTGTTTACTGCACCGTATCGCCATTTTTCCCATTTGTTTTTGCTCACTAATGTGTACTTACTATTTTCCTCGTCGCCACATGTAATGTCCCGCTTCTCGGAGTGTTTTACGGCTCACCAACGCCACAACACCTGAACAATCGTCCTTCCCACAACCGCTCCGCTCGAGTGTCGGTTTTCGACTCCCCAGTGAAGTAGGCGCATGAGACAACCAAGCAACACTTTATCTAGTCAATACACTACAGCAGGGTTATTTTTAGCAACATGACGACAAGTTAGCACTAACTAGAAAATAATTATGAAATCCAGTGGCATCTCGAGGGAGCAGTCTCAGGAATAACACTGACAAAAAGATATGCGCCACTGACTTTTCGAAGGATACATATTTCTTCCAGATTTAGTAGCTAGTGATACAACTTTTTTGGTATCCCTTTGTCTCTCACATCGTTTTCAACTAAAAACGTGAAAATTACATGAAAAATTGTTAAAACAAAATTAAATCAACTTTAATCGTTGTTAGGGATTATTCTGTTGTTATGAACTTACTTTCGGCTTCTCGTGACAGCTTGCTACTATTTTGCCTCTGTCAAAGACTATTTTTTACGCTTTGACACCCTGTATCTTGAAGAACAGATTACTTTGGACAGAAGTTTATATGAACTGTTCTACTTGGATTTGGTTCAGGAAGGCACCCTTGTAATTATAGCAACTCTGGTAATGAAAATTTTCCATCAAATGATCGAATAGTACATTTTTTTGTACACTGTAGTATGGTACGAACACACTGTATAAATATTGTTATTTTAAACTATTAGAAAATGTTGGTACTGCAAATAAAATAGATCGCAGAAAATGCTGCGGTAAGCAGAACAGCTATCTCGCAATACCTAGGAATAAAGATTAGATAGAATAAAATTATGAAGGTGTTTTTATATGTGACTAAAAGCCCACAGGCGATGAAAAATCTATTACAACACGTTGAAAGCCTAGCGAAATCGAAATACAATAAATTTCCAAAAATAATGTTTGTAACATATGAGCTTCGATTCAAATATTGGTATAGATCTCAACACATGGAACCAAATTGGCAATAAGCATTTCTTTTCGAAAACAAATCTTTATTCAACAGTCAATATTTTCAAATTTTATAGTAAACAAAGTTGTCTATTTAACAACAATAAATTCAACAATTTAAGTGGCTTTTGATCGTTTTTACATAATTTCTGAATAAATGTACATTCTTTATAGTATTTGGTGGATTACTATAGTCGTAGTCACCGTTCTTGGCGGGTCAAACTAAGATTACCAATATCGCTTTATATATCTCGATCTCCCTCATACATACACATGCAACCTACCTCTGTGTGCGAACGTTTATTCGGTAAGCTCAAAGACATACGCTTTTTAGTTGTGTGTCTCCGTCTCGAAAACTTTATGTTTGCGTATAAGTGCCCTTCAATCATATTTGTCAGAGTGACAACATACTTGACATCGGCGTGCAATTCGAGTTGCCTGTTATCAATCTTCAATATAAAATTGTACAATGCCCAGAAATACTATCAATGGAGAAGGCGGACAGCTCGTGGTAAATTTATTAGAGTATTTCCAGGAAGAGAATGAAAACAGCGGTCCCCTGTTATCTACTTCATGCGTACTGGAGAGAGAGCAGTTGCGCTGAAGATTAGTCTGCGCAGTGCTTCGCCCATGATACGGAGACTCGATCTGTTTACTTATTTCATATGGCGTTATTGACGTAACCGCCAAGAACGGTGACTACAACTATAGCTACGTAACCCGAACATGATTTTATATAAAGGTAAGATCTTTATAACCTCAGATATGACCGACAATCTTACTAGCGTCATCCAATTGTAGATTTCCACATTAACCCCCATCTGGCCAGGAAGAAATGTAATAGCGAAAAGTTTTGAAAACGAATTATTACGTTTTCTGGGAATTACATCACATAACGAAAAACCATGTCATTTATTTTTCAAATTTCGAAGAAATGTTTACACAAGATTACTACTACGTCAAGGGCGAAAAACCTGTATAGCTTTTGAAGTTGCTAAAACTTTGTTTTATACGTTTCGGAGACTTCTGCTGATTTTTGGAAGGGCTAAAAAATATGTGTAAAGGGGGTTGCAGGGGTTGGGGTAGGGTATTGTGGCGCTTATAACCCCTGTAAATTATACGTAAATTCATCCATGTATTTGCCCTTTATAAGACAACGAACAAACGAATAGAGAAGATAAACTTGTTGCCAAGGATGTGTTGGGGCGCATCGGCGTATTTGAATATTCTCAGACACGAGCGCCCGCAGGCATTTTTCTCAAGGGGGCCGATGACACGTTGGCAAGAGGAACATGTTTGCATATTATGATTATGTATCGTCGCCGACATTTTTTAAGAGTGAGGAGTTATCAAACTTTCTCAGAGGGCCCAAGATCTTGAAAATCTCAAACATGTTGAAGATGCAAATTTCAGGATTCAGACAATTTCTCAGGGAAAGGGGAAGAGGCAGGACCTGGACATAGATGTTGTTTAGCCTTCAATATAAACTATAATAGTTATAGTATAAAACATTCGATTTTGCTATGAGAAATGCGTCTTTTAAAAAGGTCTCAGCTGCAATTTTTGTTACGGATCTTTTTGCTTCACATGCCATTGACCAGGAAGTACAATTTAATTGCGGAAAAATTCTAAAACGAGAAGTTATGTTCTTGACGTGTACCTCACGAAAAACCGAATCACTCATTTTCATCGATCTGCTTATTTGTCGGACTGTCTGTCTATCCGCTAATTCTTCACCCGTATATAACTTGAAAAGTACTGTCGCGTGTTGGTCGCTCGCCAAGGGAACAAACGTATGTCTATGTGCACCAAGCGATGTATGGCGGTCTCACGTTTGGCCGCTTACTGTTCATCGCTGGTGCAGGCTAATGGCCGACCGGCGTGATTCAGCAACGTTGCCAGATGGTCGTTACTGTCAGTATCGCAGGAGAGAAATTTCAAATAAATGGGGACTATGTTCGAATTATATAGGCCCGTTTGACTGAATTTGTTGAGCAGAGGGGTTGACTTATACCGAATAAGAAATGATGTCAGCATTGCGTGAGAAATGGGAGTCATAATACCTGAAACCATCTGAATTGAAAGAGAATTTGAATTTGCTTGTAATTCGGGTACCGTTAGAAAGTCACTACATCAGCCTTATGACCAAGGAAGAAGTAAGGTTACAGTCTGAGGACAGGGCATAGGAAAACGTATTACCAAACCCCTTGTTTTTCTGGCCAAATCAAACCATATATGTTTCAGATTCCTCTTTATTGTTCGATGTTTCGGTCCCAATGGTGACCTTCAAGTACATTAATTAACACTTCTTTTTATAGTGTCAATACGCCACGATTGTATGGCAGAATTAATCCTGATATGTTTAAAATTCCGATGGGACCATCACATCGTACAGTAAGGATGGATTTTAGACATATGTAGCTTGATTCAGCGCAACATCCGGGATTATCAAGATGAAAACCACCGCAGATGTTTCAGATGTTACATTAAAACTTATTACGCCAACCAAGAACTTATTTGTCACAGCTTTGGCGCAAAGTTTTACGTATGAACTTCGGAGGGTCCGTTTTTCCAGTACTTAAATTACATACTGCTTTCGAGGCAAATTATTGCTAGTTCGGTTTTGGAAAATATAAGATTGTTGATAATATGAGTCAAACACGTAATACGTTAATACATATTTTTCGGCTGCTAGTCTGCTATTAAATTGTTCAGCCTTCAATACAACAGAAACAGAAAATCCATTTTTCATTTATACCTTCTCGATTCTTGATTAAATTTCTTAATTACTATAAACAAACGTTGGAAAAATACAAGGGAAAAATTAATCCTTACGCCGTCCTGTTCGTTGATTACTAAGCACCTCGGAGTGAAAAGACATTTCGGGACTATTAATCATTACCTGCTAAGAAATTCTTCAACGAAATTCGGAACGAGGTGGGTTTGGGACTATGAATGTCAGTGGCGTTCGTATTACTTATGGTAGGTGACTATTTCGCAGGATTTCGTCCTAGGGATGTATGGTTTGGAACGTATTCCATGTGGCTCTTCGGCTTAAAATGCTGGCGACGATAATGACTACATAGTAAGGAGAGAGATACACTACAAAGCCTTTTGGAATATGGAATCATAACAATAATCATATGGATGGAATATAATGGCTTGAAATTAGCTCCTGAGATACGAAAGTCGTTATATTTTCTGGCAGACGGATGCTAACTTTACTTGATGTTAAGACATAGAATGACGAGATTCGTAGCCAAAATGCAATTAAGTATCTGGGTTTGTGGCTCGACAAAGGTCTGACAAGGATTGAACATATCGTCGCCAATAACACGAAGTGGCGTATCTCAGAAAATACGAAAAGTCAGTTAGGTCGATTTTATTACTTAAAAAAGGTTGCTCTTCAATATCACGAAGTGGCATAAGTTACGCCAATTTGTGAAATTATAAAATACTCATATTATTTTACTGCGTATGGCTTATCTTAGTAAGAAATAAAAGTCTGGAATCCAAAATAGTCGCAAATATCACCTTACAACCGAAGGTAAGCAGTATTTAGTATGTAAAACTCTAATTGTGCACACGTTAGGATCTCGTTAATGAACAATGAGAACTTAGAAAAATTAAATTCAACTGGGATCATTAAAAGAGGTGGTGGATATTAGGAGAGACAATTCACTTCGAGATGCAATTCACAAATACATCCTGAGGTTTCCGAAAATTGAGTCCCACTATTGCCGACCAAGTTCAACCAAGGAATATCTTCGTCCAGAATTGACTGTTTCTAAGATATATGCTATAAATAGGAGAACTAAATCGCACTGACGACAAACCTTCGATTGACCTATACCGTAAAGTATTTAGGTCATTAAACCTTGTCTTTCACCGACCGAAGAAAGATCAGTGCTCGCTGTGTTATTCCTACAGACAAGGTGAGAAAGATCAGAAATAAAGACTGAAGGACATGTATCAAAATTATTACGATGACAAAAACAAAGTAAGGGAAATAAAAAGTTCTATAGAGTGCAAGCTCTGAATAATAATAATAATAATAATAATGGAATTGCATGCGCAAGTTTTGATCTAGAACATGCCCCGGTCAAATGAAAGTGCGGTCATATAAAAAAATATAATTTGACGGTGCACGATATTTCTTCAAGGGAATGTCACTGTTTTCATTGGAATGAACTAGAGAGCAAAAGAGGGGCATTTGAAGCAGTGGCGGCTCGTGCCAATTCAGTGAGGTAGTGCCAGAATGGAAGCCATAATTTTGAATCGATTCAAAATTGTAAAGAATAACTTATAACTTACCCCTGATAGTTAGTGGTCAAAGTTCTTGAGGTTCAATAAATCTATATGTCCAAAAAAAAATCAAAAATAAAACTATTTACACACGCGCACCAAATTATAAAACAAGTGTGGAGAAGTACCTATAACTTCAAAGTTTTCTATACATGAAGTCCATTCTTCTTTCTTTTTTGGTAGCAAAGTTTTCGATTACCTTATTATTAAAATTTTCAATGCCACTAACAAAATGTTTTTCTGCAGACAGCATTCCTAAAGCACTAAGCCTTTCTTCCTTCATTGTGTTTCTGAGGAAAGTTTTAATCCGTTTCAGCATTGAAAAAGAGCGTTCTGCTTCAGATGTTGACATCGGTATAGTGATTAAAATACTTAAGAGCTTAAGAGTTTCTTGAAACGTACAATTTAATCCTTCCTCGTTCAATAAAATGGATAGTGGAACAGCTCCAGAAGTAGTACTCAATTCTTCTCTCTGATATAATACTTGTAACTCAGTTTTAAGCCTGTTTTTGTCTAAAAATGAAAATTGTGTGCATGTGTCATTTAAATGTGCTTCAGGAAACTGATGTTTATAAACAGAAAACTTTTCAGACACAAATAAATTAGAAGCAACTAAATGTCCAGAAAAGTTAAATCTTGTTCTTATTTGCGATAATACTGCATCGCATATTTCTAACGCTTCCCGTTTTTTACTGCCTTCTTCAACTTGCCTTTTTTTCTTGGCGGTTCATCAGTTTCTCTCTGCACTCGTTCAATCTCGTCAATAATGCTATCCATTTGTTCTCGTATAGTTTGAATTGCTGCTTCAAAATTCTCTAAATCATTTTTGACCTTAACAGAATCGGTGCATACTTTTTGTAATTGGTTAAAGACAATTTCAACATGTGGCATTATTTTATGGAATATACTTAGCCAAAATACAAAATTTGTATCTTGCAGCTTTAATTTGTACCCACTGGCTTGATTAATCGACGAAGAATCGCGTGAAGTACTTTCTATATTGTCCATAACTTCAATCAGGTCTTTCCTATTTTCATAAACTGTATGAACACCTCGTGACTGAAAATTCCAACGTGTTTGGGAAGATCTTGGCAATCTGCAATTAACTATTTCATCCAAAATTTTTGTTCTTTGAGGAGACGTCGAAAAAAAAGAGCACAATCCAGATAAATTATGGAAAAATATTCTAGCCTGCTTATTGACAGAGCATGCGCTTGTCATAATTAGATTTAACTGGTGTGCATAGCAATGAACATAATTTGCAAGTGGATAACTTTCCTTAATAATTTTTTGAACGCCATTCAATTCACCACTCATAACAGACGCACCATCATAGCTTTGAGCTATTAATTTGTTTGGATTTTGATCTAGTAATGGATTTACAACATTTAAAACGCATGCAGCGATTGATTTGGCATCGTGTCCGTCGGGGACGTAAAATCTCCAAAATCTCTCAACTGGTTGTCCTTTACACAAATATCTGAAAATAATAACTAACTGAAATTCACAGGCTACGTCAGTCGTTTCATCGGCAATTACTGCAACAAAAGGAGAATTTGCAATCTCCTTCTTAACTTCTTCATGATAAACATCTAGCATGCACTCAAGAAGCTCGTTTTGAGTTGTTTTTGAGGTACCCTTGAAAAGTTTGGCACTTTGAATATGGACTTTCAATTCGTTGTCTAATTCGGCGCTAAAATTCACCAGCTCCTTAAATATGCCTCTGTTTTCCGAATTTTCCTTTTCATCGTGACCCCTTAAGGCTAACTCAAATGCTCCACAAAACCTTATACAATTAATAATTTTATTCAATACATATCGATTCTTATCCACTTGATTATTATGTTTAATTAGATCATTGCGATAAGCCGAATTGAGTTGAGTCCTTATATTTAATTTACCAAGAATAGAAAAGCTAAAAACATTATTCATATGGACTTTTAGATTTTTCGTGGGTCTTTATTTTATCCCATATATGTATAAGATCGTCTGTACCTTTTTTTGACCAAGTCTCGTCACCTCCAAATAGAACACCTACAAAACAAAATAGTTTATTCGTTTCTTCACAACCAGATATCCAGCTGTTTTTATCGTACACATTTTTATTAAATTTGCGACAGCGCGATTTTTGTCCGCTACCACTTTGTTTCTCAATTTTTAAATCGGGTATTGGCCGTCCTAATTCTTTAATTTGCAGTTTTTGATCCAGCGAAAAACCACTAAATGAGTTTTTTAATATTCCGATTTTATTCATTTTCACTAGTTTTAATAAAACAGTAAAAAATATGATCACAAAACAGAGCAGTTCATTAACACTAGACGTACTAAAACAAAAAAGGTATTTTTCACTTTTCAGGTAAAAAAAGACCGAAATCAGCACTAGACGTAATCATAACGAAACGACCGACCGAACAAAAACACCGCCGATATCACTTGATAACGAATTACGACTGATGATGTGCCTGGCACAAATTATACTTGTCTTTCGCTATTCACCTCATATAAAAATGTGTAGGGTAGCGTTATCTCTGTCGCTCGTATGCGATGCTAGTAAAATTTCTCTCTTTTTATTTGGGCCGGCCCAAAATTGGCACAAGTTGATGACGTCAAGGTCAAGGCGTGCTTTCCGTATCGCGTGGTTCGGGTGCTTGCGGTGTTGTCACGTTGTCAGTGTTGTCACTTCATATAATTTATACCAAAAAAAAAAAAAATGAAAAAGCAGAAAATAAAGTAAAACATTGAAGATTGAAAAAAATATTCTTTTTGAAGAAGACAAGGTAGTGCCATGGCACCGTGGCACTACCTCACGAGCCGCCACTGATTTGAAGTAAGTTCTTGTGTTACTAGGGTTTTTCAAATTTACGATTCTAAGGGTATAGATCCGTTGCCCTATTTTCGGATGGATACAGTGGACAGAATAAGAATTCCATTATTGCGACGATGCTTTTATATGATGTAGCTAAAACTTCGAATATAGTAGATATATCATTATTCTATTTGAGGCAATGCATGGTCAGGATGAAGGAGATTCTGCCCACAGTGCCGTCTGTACAGCATTTTTTTGTACTCCAACTATCACGAAGGCCTAAGACCTAAGCACCCATGGGGTGCCGTGAGGTTATAGGGGGATATAGGTGAAAAGGTGAACAGAGGGTATAAAAGTTTCTATAAACCATTCCATAAAAATTGTACTATCCATCCAAGCATTCTTTTGCGAAGTGTAAACTATAGGCATCGCAGGCATATTAACGTGTTTAAAACAACGTGGTTTCTTGCTTTCACCAATGACAAGCATGGGCAATCGGTGGCTGCCAGTAGCATTAGCACAAGCTAAAGCAGTGATACGATCTCTGCTTATTTTAGGTCCAGGTGCTGCTAATTCATTAAGTGACGCAAGAGTTTTTCTTGGCAAAGCTAACCAATTGAGCCCAGTTTCATCTGCATTGTAAACGTTTTCGAGGGCGTCATTTGCTTCCTTCAGTAACTCCCTTAGTTTGATTCTGAATGAATCTGCTGCTGATGAATCAGCCGACAGTTTTTCCCTCTGTATTTGCGGCTCACGAATGCCATGTCTCGACTTAAATCTTTTCAACCAGCCTGTGCTTGCTTGAAAATTTGATGGCCCTTAGAGTTTATCGTTGAACTGAAGTGCTTTTTCACACAGAATCGGACCAGAAACAGGTTCTTCCTGGGATCCTTTCTGAGTAAACCATCACTTATATACAGCATCATCTAAATCCGTGTTTGAGGCAAGTTACATCGTTTTACGACTTGTCGATCTGTCAGAAGAATCAAGTTGGGACATAAAGTTACTTATGCTCGTCTTTTGTTTCTTTATATCCGTAATGGTAGACTTACCAACTTTGTATTCATTGGATAACTTTGTTGCAGATTCACCTTCCTCTAACCGTTTATTAATCTCGTAAACGAGTGTTTACTTTTACGCGACAAAATTTGGTTTATTTCCTAGCAGCTACTCGGAAGTAACTAATATACGAATAATAACTAACAAGTGCGCGCACGAGCGCGGGGAGAGTCGGGAGTTCGGATAAGCGGTCGTTCGGTTGATCGACGTTTGGATAATCGAGGCTCTACTGCACCAGATTTGTTCCCTATATTCTCTGCCGAAGCTATGGCTATTATTCAAGCATCACAGTATAACCAATTCAATAACATCCAGAAAGCTGTAATATTTTCCGATTCCCAATCTGTCCTTGTAGCCTTAAAAAACATCAATAACTGCAAGTCACATACTAATATCCTTCTCAAACGAATGTTGCTCGATCTGAAATCCGCTAATGCAGACATCCATCTTTACTGGATCAAAGGGCATTGCGGTCTATCGTTTAATGAAAGAGCAGATGAATTGGCTAGGCTAAGCATCACATATGGCATCGTACTTCAAGTCACTCCATCGGTAGAAGATTACAACTGCTTTTTAAAAAAATATATGTTCGAATCCTGGTTCCAGGAAATAGAAAATATTGCTCATCTCACCCTTTCAAATACACTTCCATCCAACCAGATATACCTCGACCATATTGGCATGATAACTTTAAGATTAAGTACATATCCTGCATTACTCTTATGAAAATTGGACATGGCTCCCTTCCCTTCGCACCTAGCTAGGTTGAATCTAATACCCTCGGAACTTTGTGAGCATTGCAGTCTCAAAGGAGACTTGGATCACATCTTTTTCGGTTGTATTAAGCATCTTACACACTGTGACAATCTTTACCGAAACTTACTCGTGCGTAGGTTTACAATACACAATCACTTTTCTCGATACAAAAACCTGAAGTGACTTCTTGCTTTATGGAGTTCATCAAAACTTCTGGTATCAAAATTTAGAGTCGCTAGAATAATTCAACTTCTTCTCTTTGTCTCCCTTTATCGGTCATCCAGATAGGATTAATGGGTTTAAATTATTTAGTGTTACGCATATAAGTTTTAGCGTTTTTCCACATATGTATTTTCATCCTTCTTACTGCGGCCCTCTTGTAGGTGAATACGGCAAAATGCCCTGATAGGCCCCTGGGTGAGAAGAAAGTGTGACCATGTCGAATACCTCAAATTTCCTATTCTCCTTCCCTACTAGATTAGTTTTCCTTGCGATGCTTTCTTTACGAACATGTTTTGATCATATTATTCTTATTATTTACGAGGGATGTCTTTTAAGTTTTGCATATAGAAACATAGTAGACGGGTAAGTCTTAGCGACGATCCCAGAGTGGGTGCACCACCAAAAACGGCAGTCACCCAGGAAAACGTCGATGCTGTGCGCAAACTCATCATTGAAGATAGACATGTGACATATCGCGAGATTGAGGCGTCCTTGAAGATCTCAAAGACCTGAATTTAAAATATTTTACATGAAGAATTAGAAGTAAGAAAATTAGTTACTTGTTGGATACCCCACCTGTTGACTGAAGAGCAGAAAGCAGCCAGCGTTAATTGGTGTCAAAAAACGCTTGACGGTTTCAATTCCGGAAACTCAAAAAATGTGTACAGCATTGTTAGTGATGATGAATCGTGGATTTACTGTTATGAACCATAAAATAAACGACAGTCGGCTGTTTGGGTGTTCCAAGGTGAAGAAAAGCCAACAACAGTCATCCGTTCTCGAAGTGTTTCCGAGCTTCCAAAAATCAACTCCGAAAGAAGAATAATCCTCCACCAAGACAATGCAAGCTCGCACACAGCCCAAAAAACAAGGTAGTATTTAATGGAAGAAAACGTGGAATTATTGGACCATCCTCCATATAGTCCTAACGATTTCTTTACTTTCCCGAAAATTAAAAACAGACCACGTGGTCAAAGTTTCCAGTCACCAGAAGAAGCAGTTGACGCATTCAAAAATGCCGTTTTGGGTCTGCTAGCAAACGAGTGGAATAAGTGCTTCGAAAATTGGTTCGAGCGCATGCAGATGTGTATTAATCTTCGTGGAGAATACTTCGAAAAACAATAAAGTCATTTAAAACTACCTACCGTGTTGTTTTATTTCCATATGCAAAACTTAAAAGACATCCCTCGTATAACTTGTTTCTGGTCGATGGGTTATATCCCAGTGCCATTAATAAAAAAATCGCCCCTAATACATTATTTCAGCAGTCTATCTTGTATAGTTTTCAGGACTATTCTAATTGTTTATAATATATTGGATATGTCTCCAATGTTCGCTTGACATTTGTCAGTGTCAAGTGTAGTGGTATGAAGATCCAGTAAGCCAAGCGGATTCGTAGCGTAATGGGAGAGAACGGCGATTGCTGAACCGCAGGACGAAGGTTCAAGCCCACAAAGCTCCTTTTTTTGCTATTGATTTTTGTAAAATTTGGAGAAATAATTGCTTTTTCTCACTATGTGTACTTTTATTGCAATCAGTTTTTCGCACGCCATAGAGAATGTAAACTTGCAAACAGGAAACCAGCGGTGTACGTATGATTGTTTATAATTTCTTTATATTACATCATGAAATGTCAGTAACACATGTCGGATCATAGCAGATAATTTTTTAAAGCATTATATCTTAGGTGTGTAAATTATTTATGAACAATAATAAAAGACATCCAAAATTTCGTTTGTGATAAGGTACCTCTTGGAGCAGCAGAGGATGCTCATAAAATTAAGTGAGCTAACCCACAGTTTTTGTATTTAGCGCAGACATTTTTTGCAGAGTTTGTATTGTTATATCATGGCAGCATAGCACAGAGGTAATCTCTCTTTTAGGGAGTGATGGGAAAGAGGAAGCCCTAATACAACGTGGAAGTTAAAAATATAAAAAATCGGAAATTAAGCAATTTAAATTATATCTTAGAGAGCGATATAATTCTCTAGGATTCATTGACATTTTGTATTTATTAACCATCGCAACCATTATGCTGCTTATTTTTTCGTATTCCGATGTGTTTAACCACTAACTTGAGGTAATTCACTTGTAGTGCATTAAACAAGCTTATTATCACAAACAAAATTTCGGATATCTTTCATTATTGTTGGTTAATAATTTACACATCTAACATATATGTTTTTGAATTTGTTTAGAAGAAAAAAAACGTAACCCTTCGTTTTTCGCATAAAAACAACAATTATCTTTCGGAATGGTTTGTGATTTATGTCGACAAGGTAAGCTCGTGTATTTTGCTATAAAATTCTTTTTGAACGAACACTGTATATTGCTCAGTAAACTGGTAGTGATGGCCGGAAGACAGGTGTTCTGGGATAAGCAATTAGAAATTCTCAAAGACAATCGACTCAAATTTTGCTTTGATTACTTAGGAGTATGAAACCTACGGATTTGAAGAATTTCAAGTAGCTGCGTGAAAATTATCATCGCATTAGCAGCAAGTTCCGAAACCTGCATTTTGCCTGGGTTTTCGGCTATAACTTTTTTACTATTAGTCGGATATTTTTATGTCTGGTCTCATTCTGTAGATCTCATAAATACCTAAAAATCTTATTCGACGAGTTTTTTAGTTTCTGCCAATACTTTCGATTGAATCTCAAACGCGGTTTCTTATGTTTTGTTGTCGTTTTCCCACAAAAATTGGTGTACACATTTTATGCGTCCATGTTTTAAATACCCCCTTGAACAACTTGCATCAATAAAATCAGACTTTACAATTATTTCGGGAAAATTTGCTAATATGATTAGACTAATTCATTTGCTGATGGAGGAGAGGTTAAGATTCCTAGATAAATAGTGGAAACAAAAAACGCTCAGGTAAATAATAACGTCATTTGAAGTTGTATCCCGTCAATTTCATTATGCCAGTTTGACAGCTGAGCTTCATATTTCGAAATATCCCAATAATTGACACAATGCTTGAAAACGGCTTTTAATGTTAATAAAACCAAACCACAGGACCTTACTGCCATTTGATGAACCAGTCCAAGCCAATGAATTCGAATAGACTAGAAGGGACCAAGCCTGTTTACATTTCACTGTTTGCGTAGTTTTAGTGCATGCTTTTGACTCATTTGTTTACCAATGTCTACCAAAGTGACAGCGTTGTATCAACATAATAATAGAACCGTTGAAAACATCTACCTTTATTAGGCTTGTGTTGCTCTTTGCACATCATGTAAGAAGTATAATGCCTTGAAATCACTTAACACCATAATTGTATAAAAACACTCGCACTTTTAAAAAATAACACTAGATATATGAATTTAATGACACAACTGTCAAAAATACTTTGATCATCACTACGGACTGATAATAAGGAGACAAACAAATCCTTGACTAGCTGCTTCTAGTCTTACTTCGTTCGTCCAAACCAAATTAGCTGCCTGTTGTATTCAATTTGAATTTTTTAGGTTACACCAGGCAACTAGATATTCTGAAGTATTTATAAAATGAGTTGCATCGTAAATGTAAAACCAAGCATTTTGTGATTTATAGTGTCTGGATTACTTCGTTTCAGAAAGCCATCATTGGTCTCGCACATTATACTTGTATCCCTCGCCGGTACATCTCTCAGGTTGCTCCCCCAGTATTACCATTATGACCCACCTCTGAGACTAGGTATGTCATACACTATTATTTGACGTTGACAGTTAAACGTCAAATGTATGGTCAGATCTATGGAAATCTTAAATAAAAATCAAGTCCTATAATCTTCGAGAGAGGATGGATGAGTTCTTTTTCAATGTCCGAATTTCAAATGCGATTTCTTCTAATACACCCCTGAATAGTGGAGATAAGCAATCTATTTCAACTCTTCATATGCAATTTTGTTCACGTAGATATTACTCAATTCCTTGATCTCCTTCATAAAGTTTGAGTACGTCATTGTGAAAAGGTGTGATAAGGGGTAGCAGGAAGAAGGGGGTTGGGGATGGAAAACTCCATTAACAAGGACTGGAAATGATCAGTTCATTAGCTAATAATGTAAATCCAATGTTGAAACTTCCGGTGAAGCTGGAGTTTGAGGACCGCTCTAAACTCAATGTTCAAGGCCATTGAGATACGGAATGACAATTTATGAGCAAGATGATGGGGGCATACAGGGTGTTTCGTACTTAAATGGACATAATGAAATAAATTGTAAGTAGCATGAACTGAGACATTTTCATATCTGAAAATGAAAAAAGTTCTAAATTCAGTTTTTACGGATATACAAGAGCTTCATCTAAACATGCCGAATCTTTAATATCTTATATCTCACAGATTTTGTTGAAATTCGGTATGAGAACAAAGTAACGTAGGAGTAACGTAAAATTAGACGGAAGGTTGAAAAAACCAGGGTTGCACTCGATTCTTTGTTTTTTATTAAAATCAACATCTTTTGAGCTGAATATCGAAATTATAGACTACAAACAAAAAAGCCAATGAATTAGCAAATAGATTGATTGTGCATTTCATGGTTTCTGAATTAAAATTGATTTTATTGATATTTATATTAGTTTATAATATATATATATATATATAACTTCGAAGTTGAGTCATTTATTTTAACAGTGTGTAGATCTGATCAAAAGAAATGTTTTTTTCCTTTACCATTTTTCTGGTAAAATTAAAGTAACAAAGTTATAGCCCTTTGGAAGTTTGAGTACCGCCCTGTCTCAATAATATCATGTGTTTGTGTTTGGCAACAACGGTTCATCGCATCGGAAACAAAAAAGCGAAAGAATTTGGAACGATGTTTTTACGATTACAATTCAGTTCAGTTATACATACAGTCAGTTTCAGTCGCGTGTGAATAGTGTCTGTTGCGTGGCTCAAACGAAATAAAAAATGGCACATGTTTATGCGGATCGGTTTCCCAATCGAGTGCAACCAACCCCTCGCGCCTTAGTTAATGTAGTACAACAGGCTCGTGAATCAGGTGACTTAAGACCTCACAGGGGACCTCACGATCAAATACAGGTCCGCACTGAAATATTTGTCGGGAGGATACTTTATAAAACAAGGTAAAATTTTTTTTTAATTTTTTTTTATTTTTACACACATATTTTGGTTTATCTTCCTTCTACAATCATTATCTGAAAATTAATGACTCAACTTCAAAGTCACCCTGTATATATATATATTATAAACTAATATAAATATCAATAAAATCAATTTTAATATATATATATATATATATATATATATATATATATATATATATATATATATATATATATATATATAGGTGAAAAATTAAAGCTTCCGCCTTTTGTTGGGTACTTCGACAAGATTTAAGCAAAGAGGACTCTTTATACTTTTTTTGATTCTCTCTAGCTTTCAATGGACTTTGCCATCATCATCAGGAGCTGCAATTACAATGATAACAGTAGCAACAAAGGTGTAAAATGAATTTAAATTGACTCAACTTACAGTAGTATGTGAGGATGTTGCTAATTGTTGTTTACGTATAGGATGAGGGAAACGTCCAGTAACATGGTGAGAGCTGAATAGATTGCACAATAGTCAAAATTTATACAAAACATGACAAGAACAAGTTAAAAACAGATTAAAAATTATTTAAAAAATTAGAACATTACATCGTGAAACCACCTGATGATTGCACAAATTAGTGGTCATGGAATGATGAATTGATGAGTGACATGAAACCCTTTGACAGAAGGCCGAAGGATGTCAATGTCAGTATTGAAAGATGGAACGAATTGTGGGCGTGTGCCAAAACGTTGCCAAATCACGTCAGATGATGAGATTTTCAGAATTTTATGTTAGAATTTGTTAAACCGACCAGAGGCAGTTGAATAAACTATATTATTATTAATGGGAATTTAAATTAACAATTATTAATAAATCGTGAGGAGAGAATTATTATATTTTGAGTGGAATGAAATTTACTGGTGGAAACGGCCAAAACACAGATTCTAATTATGGTTGTGAAGAGTTGAAATTTGGGGAGATATGTAAGTTCTCCAATTTTTCGCAGTTTAGCAAATATGAGTAAATGACACTCAGTTGTTTAACATCTGTCTTTTTGTTGATACAGTTGTTATTCATGAAAATGT